GTCACTGCCCCCTCCCGTGCTTGTGGTCACTGTTCCCTCATGGTCACTGTCCCCTCCCTGCCTGTGGCCGCTGTCACCCCGTGGTCACTTGTCCCCTCCATGTCTTTGGTCACCCCTCGTGGTCACCATTGCTCTGTGGTTGTGGTCTCCACGTGGTCTTCCTGTGGTCCCTGTCCCTTCCATGCCTGTGGTCATCCCCATGGTCACCATCCCCTCGCTGTCACCATCCCCTCATGATCTCCCCGTGGTCACTGTCCCCTCCATGCCTGTGACCCCTGGGTCACTATCCCCCCATGGTCATGCTCTGCCCATGATCTCTGTCCCCTCCCTGCCTGTGGTCACTCCCATGGTCACCATCCCTCCGTGGCCACCATCCCCTTGTGATCTTCTCATGGTAAGTGTCCCCTCCGTGTCGCTGGTCACCCCCCATTGTCACCATCCCCCCATGGTCACCATCCCCCCAAGATCTTCCCATGGACACTGTCCCCTCCATCCTGTGGTCTTTCCCATGGTCACTGTCTGCCCACAGTCAGGGTCTCCCCATGGTCTTCCCAAGGTCACTGTCCTCTCTTTACCCTCATGGTCACCATCTCCCCATGGTCACTGTCCCCTCCATGGCTGTGCTCACCCCACGGTCACTGCCCCCACCGTGGTCTCCCCAGGGTCACTGTCCCCTCTATGCCTGTGGTCACCCCACGGTCACTGCCCCCCACCATGGTCTCCCCAGGGTCACTGTCCCCTCCATGCCTGTGGTCCTTCCCGTGTTCAGTGTCACCCCATGGTCAAGGTCCCCCACAGTCTTCCCACTATCCCTGCCCCCTCCATGTCCCCATCATCATTGTCTCCCCAGCATGGTCTTTCCAGGGTCACTGTCCCCACTACGCCTGTGGTCCCCCAGTGCCCATGGTCCCTGTGGCAATGGCCACGGTCCCCTCACGCCCACGGTCCCCCCGTGGTCCCCCCGTACCTCGCGGAAGGCGATCCTGAGCTCCCTGACCCCCACCATGTGCGCTGTCTCCTCCCGCAGCTTCGGCCCCATCATCTGCACAAAGTCCTCGAAGTCCACGCGCCCGCCCACTGCGGTGGCAAGGGGGGACACCCTCAGCTCCCCCCGCCCCCCCCCCCCCCCCCCCCCGCCCCCCCCCGGGCCCTGCTCACTCCTCATCTTGATGTGCTGGGAGATCTCGATGAGCTCCATCTCGGTGGGCATGTACCCCAGCGTGCGCATGCACTCGCCCAGGTCCTTGTAGCTGATGTACCCGTCCTGGTCCGTGTCGAACTCCTTGAAGGCGTCCAGCAGCTCTGGACACATGGACACACGGACACTGTCAGGCGCGGGCGGTCACCCGGGCACCGCAGCGCCCTGGAGCAGGTCAGTTCTGGGGTGTGGGCCTGTGGCATATGGTCCCGTGGCAGTGTCCCCCCGTGGCAGAGCCCTCTGTGGCCATGTCCCCCTTGAGAGATCCCTCCACAGCCATGTTCCTGTGGCTGTGTCCCATGGCAGAGTCCTCTGTGGCCATGTCCTCATGGCACTGTCCCCATGGCAGTGTCCCCATGGCAGAGTCCTCTGTGGCCATGTCCTCATGGCAGTGTCACCCATGGCAGTGTCCCCATGGCAGTGTCCTCTGTGGCCATGTCCTCATGGCAGTGTCACCCATGGCAGTGTCCCCATGGCACAGCCCTCTGTGGCTCACGTCCCCATGGCCTGTGTCCCCATGGAAGAGCCCTCCATGTTCCGTGTCCCCGTGTCCCCATATCCCATGGCCCTGCACCCCGTGGCAGGTCCCTCCACGGTCGTGCCCCCATGGCAGTGTCCCCGTGGCAGTGTCCCCATAGCAGACCCTTCCCTGAGTCCGTGTCCCCCCCCAATCTCCCTGAGCCCCCGTCCCTGCCCTGTCCCCCCTGCTCACCATCCAGCTCCTCCGGCGACAGCTCCCGCTCCTGGATGGGACACGGGGGGGGTGACAGCAGAATGAGACCCGGTTCTGTCTCCCCCCCCCCCCCCCCGCCCCCAAACCGCCGTGTCACCTTTGTTAAGCACGGGCCAAAATTAACTCTGGCGGAGGATTAGCGGGATTGGAGGCAAAGCCCCGCCCTGCCCCGTGCCTGCTCCCCCTGCCCGCCCTCTCCTGGTCCCGTGTCCCTCTCTCCTGTCACCCACCCCGGGCTGGCTCACCCCGGGACCCCCAGGATCCGGATGGGATGTGGGTGCTGCCGAGGGGGCTTTGCAGTCTGGAGGTGGGAGGGCAGGATGTGTCCCCGCAGAGCTTGGCTGGCCCTGCCCAGGGTGTCCCCCTGGGGTGTCCTCTCTGTCCCCCTGGCCCTGGGGCGTCCCCAAAGCCATCCGTAGTGCCCCCATGCCCCCTCTCTCCCCAGGAATCCAGAGTGTCCCTGAGCTTGTCCCCCGTGCTCCATGTCCCCTCTATCCTCAGGGTTTCAGAGGGTCCCTGTCCCCATTCCCACTGTCCCCATATCTCCATCCCCACGGTCTTGGAGTGTCCTCCAACCCCATCCCCACTGTCCCCATGTCCCTTCCATCCCCAGGGTCCTGGAACATCTCCACTGTCCCCATTCCACAGTTCCCAACCCCATCCCCACTGCCCCCCCTGCCCCCTCTGTCTACAGGGTCCTGGACTGCCCCTGTCCCCATCCCCACTGCCCACATGTTCCCATCCCCACTGTCCCCACTATCCCCATGTCCCCTCCATCACCAGTGCCCCAGAGTGTCCCTTACTATGTCCCTGATGTCCCTGTCCCCACCTCCTTCCCATGTCCTGGACTGCTCTTGTCCCCATCCCCACTGTCCCTCATCCTCACCATTCCCAGGCTCCCAGAGTGTCCCCATATCCCCATCCCCACTGTCCCCAAAGTCCCTGTCCCCCCTCCATCTGCAGGGTCCCAGAGTGTCCCTGACCATGTCCCCAGTGTCTCATGTCCTCTCCACCCACCCAGGGTCCTGGACTGTCCCTATCCCCATCCCCACTGTCCCCATGTCCCTTCCATCCGCAGGCTCCTGGACTGTCCCTGTCCCCATCCCCGCTGTCCCCATGTCCCCATCCCTGCTGTCCCCTTGTCCCCATCCCCACTGTCCCTGTCCCCATCCCCGCTGTCCCCATGTCCCCATCCCCACTGTCCCTGTCCCCATCCCCACTGTCCCTGTCCCCATCCCCGCTGTCCCCATGTCCCTATCCCCGCTGTCCCTGTCCCCATCCCCGCTGTCCCCACGTCCCTTCC